AAACACAGAGGTGCAGGAGGTGCAGTATACGTTTGACTTACAGCTTGCACAAGGTATAGTGCTTTTTTGGTAATCTTTTCTTAAAATTTATGTGGTAGCCATATCATGAAGTTTGATATGAGATAGATAATAATATATAGAACCAGCAGTTATCAGGGTATAAGGAAATAAAGTATTATAGGAAAGATGTAACTATAGTCCCTCTAATTTACAACAGACTGTGTAGAACTAAGCATGTTACTTATTTCATCTTTTCTTAAAATCTTAATTACCCATTATCTCATGGAAGGTGGGATAAGAACTTGCATGTATACAGTGTTGTGTGATGTGATGTTCATGGTTTACTATTATCCTGAAGATTAACATATTTGAGGCCTTTTTCTCCAGAGGATGCTAAAAAGATGGCAGTTAAAGAAGAAAAATATGATCCGGGTTACGAAGCAGCGTATGGTGGTGCTTATAGTGAGAAAACCCCCTATGAGCATGAACAGTGTAACTTCACTTCAAATGGAACAGGTAAAAAGTGATACTTGTGGGTTTTAATCCCCAAGTCTTTACATGTGAAAATATACTAGGATTATTTTTCTGCATTTCTACTGTTTCAGGCAGTTTTTGTTTAAATGCTGTTGTACTTCAAAACTTTAAACTGTTAAATTTATAATTTCTTCTATATCATTTTATCTGGACATTAGGGCCCCCTTTTCTGTTTGGGGGAAAGAGGGGAGACTTTTTTTTTTTTTTTCTCCTGGACACTCACTTGTATTTAAATAAAATATTTTCTGCAACTTCAGCAACTTTCCCAAAATCAGATTTTAGGGATTCTTAAACAAATCTGTTGTGTAAAAATAACTGTAATCATTTACAAGTCATATATGGAAACAACCTAGAAGAGCATCATAATTACCATTTTTTGCCATAAATTTACATAGTGCTTTTCATTACAAAAGAAATAGTCATTACCTCTGAACTTATAATCTAAGAATAGCAAGACCTGACAAGTGATTTAAAAAAGAGAGAAATAAGATTATCCTGTTCATCTTGCTACTGGTGACGGAGGATGTATTCAAATGTATTTTTCCTGTATCAGGATGGTTTGTGGTTCCCATATAACTTCATAAATTGATTTGAAGGCTAGTGTAAATGCAGTTTTTTGTATTAATACACTGTTAAGACTGAGGAATAAAATAAAATTTAAAAAACCACCAAAACCGCAGACTGTATAGTGTATCCCATTTAATGATGTGTAGGAAACCTTAACTTTTGGTATTCCCCAACTTTTGAGAGCATTGTCTTAACCTTACATCAAACTAGGTTTTGCACTTAACTTTTTCTTGGATTTCTAATTTTAAAGAGACATTGGGTGTGGGGGAGAAAAAAAGAAACGTAGAGCTTATGTATGCTGTGGAGCCTGAATGTTTCCTGACCTGGGTCAGATCTGCTGTCTTGCAGAGCTTTCACAAATACACAATTTCAGCCCCAAGTGAGTTTGAAAAAACTATTAGCAACAGAAAAAACACAAGGGGAGAATAGAATGAGAGTTGGAACTCTGACTGTAGCAGAATAGCCATAATTAGGAATTCTGGTTTTCACTTCAAACCAAAAATGGAGGAAGTGCCATTGGTCACAACTGAAGAACAGGTTTAAATTCTATATAGGGGAACTAATGAATAATTACCAACTTCTGATAAAGGTCTTTAAATTTCATGTCCTAATCTTGCGCTCTGATGTAGATTGCTGCCTATATTGTTTCCTGTTCATGATCTTTCAAGTTCATTTATTATTCTCATATAATAGCTGGAACACAATGGGGTTTGGTGTGGGGTTATGAAGACTGGGTCGGCAGGATACAAACAAAATTGAGGATTTTTAAATGTTTTCTGTGTGTTCATTGCTAGTGAAACAGCTGATTTCTGCTCAAACTTAGTCACAATTCAAATAAACATACTTCATTTTTAGGAAGTTAACATGGACTAGAGAGTGATCAAAAGTAAATATTGAAAAGGAGTTGCTAATTGAAAAATGCAGGGGTGGGGGGGAAATGCTTGGAAAATTCTTTCATCAAAATGAACTTTTCTGAAACTTTCCTATAGCTATGATGCCAGCTAAACTAGTAATACTTTTGTTTGTTTTTCTAGAAGCAAACAATCTAGGCTACAGTGGGGGGTCATCCTTTGGTGACATTCCTAATGGACAGTGGATGATGCAGTCCTTCACAGACCAGATTCCAGAATTCAGTAACAGTGGGGCACAAGAAGAAAGCAGTGTGTAAAAGCTGCCTCTTTGGCAGCTGTGCATAAATGCTGCAGTTTTAATGCAGTTATCAAGAATGGTACCTCAGTTCTCTAACTGAAGCATTTTAATAGTATTTTACCTGTTATTTTATTATAGTCCAAACAAATTGTGTGGTAGATTTAATCCTATGAAGTAGGTAATTTTTAAGGAAATGTCCAGCATTTTAAAAGGAAAAAAAATAAAGGTAGCCCTTTTTGTATATGAGTTTTATATTTAACTTACACCATTTCTTGCAGTTTATGACAAACTGCTTTCTCGTATGTGAAGACTGATTTCTTTTGGGGTTACTTTAATTCTGTAATTTGTAGTGCAGTAGTCTGTGGAATTATACTTTTTACTGATTCCTTCATATGGGGGGATATTTCATAACCCTTTTATATGCAGAGAGGAAAATGGGAACATGAAAGCCACTTGCTGATTAAGATTACCACTGTTGCTTGACAGTGTAGCCTTGCTCTCACAGGGAATAGGGCTTTTTAAAGTCAACATAGTTACATGAATTGTGCATTTTCAAGGCCTGCCTTCTGTTCTCTGCCACGAGTGAGAGTTTCCCACTTTGCTTTCCAAGCTTCATCCCCATTCAGCTCATTTGCCATTTGGCACCTGAAGCTCTAAGAGACTTGAGACCTCATCTCCCCCACCTTGTAAAGGGGGGAGGAGAATCCAGTTTGTTGAGCGGGGGCAGGGCTTGAAGGCTCCTGGTTAGTTGTCTTGAAATAAGACTGCCTAGTATCAACTTCGCCTTCTAAGAAATAAGGTGGAGCCTGTTGGGCTCTGTGGAGCTGAAGTGCCCTCCCTCTCCTCCACGGCTGGTCTCTGACTTCCCACTTGGTTTACACTGAACAGCTCCTTTATAGTGCAGCAATAGCACTAAATGGGGGGAGAGAGAATACCTCAGTACTGGCCAGATTAGAGAGCATCCTTGCAGAAAATGGGGAGGGCCGTACTCCCTGTAAAATCTAAGAGCAGACGCTTATTTGCACATGTCACCAAGAGGGAAAACTAGCATGGGGTTGGAACAGAACTGAGCATAATTCTTAAGATGTTCAGTTCCTTTCCAAAATGGGAAGGAATTGAGAACGATCTCTAAGAGCTTAGGAGGATTTCTCCTCCTTGCTCCCCCAAAAAATAATTATGGTATGAAGTTAAAGCCATAGACAGCTGCTATGTGAATATAAAGTCAACCCTGGAAAATACAGTCTTCTAAAGTACTTAAATAGTTTGTGTTTCTAGACAAACTTTGACTAATGTGGCCAATGTAATATTCAGGGAGTGAAATGAATTTTCCATGCTTGGGTATAAAATATCACTGTCTTTCTCTCTTTTGAATAGAAAGGGGAAGATATGGCTTGAAGTAAAAGCAATAAGCTGATCAAAACATTTAATGTTTTGGTGATCTTATGAGAGTAGGTGCTTTGTATACTTGAAATATGCACAAACTGTATCTTCTTAATCCAAACTGGTCAGATATTACACTACCAGAAATTTTATCCTTTCTTCCACACTTTGGCAGTTGCCATCATGGATTGCGTGGATCCAGGTAATGTAGAACCTAAGCCTGCTAACAACTTTGGATCTCACACACACAGGAAGCACACTGCCAGCTCAGTGGGAGGCAGGCCTGATGTTTACAGTTCTCTTCCCCAGTTGTGTGTCTTAGTCCTAAGAGAACTTTTTAAATCAAGACAAAATGTGCATTGTGGTTCTGATCATGTTTGTTAGCCTCAGTGTAAAGCTGTTCATTATATGGTCAAAGATATATGTAAATTGTTCATTTGTTATTTAAAATGTACTGTATCATGTATCACTGTTTACATGGACATGTTCCTGCAGGTGCTCAAAAGTGCCTTGCATCAGGGATTTGTAACAATTCAATTTATTTTTCAACAAAAGTATGTGAAGCATGTAACTACTATTGCTGAGTAGATAACTTCTGTAAAGGTGGTTTTTTAATTTGAAGGGAAAGTTCTGTTCTTTGACAGAGGCGCCTACTAGATTATGTAGGTATAAAGTAGAGTTAAATGTACAATGACCATTTAATTAAATATGGCAAGTAACGTGTGCATTCTCTCAAATTGGTGCTGTAACATGGAGGTTTTAAACCTATCTTGAAAATCTAAAGATGTTTCACAATAAAATCAGGAACTCCATTGGAATATCTTATTGTGTTAGTGTGATATTTTCCCCTCTTACTAGTGATGAGATCTGATTATGATGCATGTAAACACCTGCTGAATGGTTTCACTGTAGTGTTTTGAAAATTAGACCTATTGAAATGTTTCTTTCATTTTGGTTTTATGCTGCTTAAAAAAACAGGACTAGAAAAGCTAAAACATCTTGTACTCAACACAAAGTACTGCTGGTATAGATTCAGCAAGCAACTGGAACCTTCTTTAGAGGATACAAGACACTGCATTGAAACCCATTCTGTTTAGTCCTGATTTTCATCTTTGTAAACATCTTAAAATGTTTTTAATCAAGTAAACTAATATCTCACAGTATTACTAGAAACTCAAGCTAATCTGAAGTTTGTATGTATTACCCCCTATACCAGCACAAGTTTATTTTTAGGGTAAAGCTTAAATACTTAAGGTTAGTTTTGTAAAATCAGTTACACATACAGTTTAACACAATAGTTATCATATATTACACAGAAGATAAACTGTATTGCAAAGTATGATATAGAAATAGAATAATCCATTACGATCTTGCTGGAAACTGATTTATTTTTAAAGGCATAAACATATTAGACGTCTTTCAGTATCAGCTATTGGGACGAATCATTTTAAACTTCCCTGATGGGTCAGGGATAAACCAGTTTTCCCATAGGTCATTATGAACACTAGGGTAATCCCAAGGTTTATACCTTCCATTCCAATGAAGTAATTTAGCTTCTTGAAGAAAATGCTCTGAATACCTGGCATCGGGACTCCAGCCTGTGGGGTTTTAAACAGAAATAAATCTCTAGCTTTCGTAAAGATCGGTATTGGAAGATACTATGCAATTAAATGAAATACAACTTTTAATAAAACTGATTTAAAGAAAAAATATGCTAATTAGTATACTTTTTACTGGTACTAAACATGATGGGCTATTTTGATAAACTTAATTCACATTTGTCATTATACTTAGTTCTATTTAACACAACATTTTGGATAACCGCACTACCCTATTCTAATATCCTAGCATAGATGGAGTCATAAGGAACCTCAGGTGCCTATTCTAGTCCACTACCTTGTATTATGCACAACTGAACCATCAGCCTTCTGTCCAGGTGAATGTTGACTCTGTCCCCTGAAGCTAATTGCACAACCTACCCTAGCAGCTTCTGTTCTCTCCCTCTAGGAAAAATTTGCCTTATTTGAAATCCCTTGCAGCTGTATTCAAGCCTCTTACTTTTTCTGTCCTTGATTAGTGACACTCTAGGCTTGTCTGTCTTATACTTCAGAAAAATTATGATTTTTTTTTTAAAGTTTTTCTTTACACTAAATATGCCCAGTTCCTAGCCTTTCTTCAAGCTATTTTTTTTTTTTTAATTTTCATTACTGTAGTCTATCACTGCTGACCTGTCTGATTTCTAGTATTGGTCAGTCACAAATGATTAGGACCCTACCAAATTCACAGCCATGAAAAAATGTCACGGACCGTGAAATCTGGTTTTGTATGGGGTAAAAGCACACAATATACATATTTCACGGGAGAGACCAGCGTTTCTCAAACTGGAGGTCCTGACCCAAAAGGGAATTGCAAGGGGGTCACAAGGTTATTTTAGGGGGAGCGAGGTATTGCCACCCTTACTTTTGCACTGCCTTCAGAGCTGGGTAGCTGGAGAGTGACAGTGGTGGCCAGAAAGCGGTGGCTGTTGGCCTGGCGCTTAGCTCTGAAGGCAGCACCTCGCCAGCAGCAGTGCAGAAGTAAGGGTAGCAGTACCGCAACCCCCCCCCCCCCCCCCCCCCCCCCCCACACACACACACAATAACCTTGCAACCCCCACCACAACTTTGTGTCAGGACCCCTACAATTACAACACAATGGACCGTGAATTTGGTAGGGCCCTACAAATGATGTACTGTACATGCTGCTTTACAAACAGCAAGAGGCGGCCCCCTACCCCATAGTGCTCACACTCAACTATGTTTGTGCCTCTTTAAAAAATGGTGCCCAAATCCTGCATTGTTCTAAATAAATCTTTGATGAGGGTGGAGTGGAGGGTTATAGACAAGTGTTACTCCTACTAGTACATCTCAATATAATGTTTGCCCTTGTAGTGAGGGGGCAGGGCCTCCCTCCAAGATAGGTGGTGGTGCCTCCCAGTCAGCCCCCTGGTGGGGGAAGCCAGGAAGGCCATGCCTGCCCTGCTGGAAACGGGGGGCAAGACAGGAAGTACAAAAGATGGGCTCTGCAGCTCAGTTGAGCTGGAGCTACCGAGAGAGACAGACACTTACAACCCGCTGCTGGAACGGGAGCCCACAGAAGGCCGCTGGTGTCCCAAAGACTCACCAGAGCTGCTAGGCACGCCACTGCTGGCTGTGTATCCCGGGGAGACAGCGGACAATCCCGGGATTCAGGTACACCCCAAAGGGAGGGTAGGAAGTAGCACAGGGACAGCCGACTCTAGTCCAGCTGCGTTGCTGCCTAAGCCCAGGTCGGCGTGTTGCGACTGGATTTCCTGCTGACTCAATGGCAGAAAACTCCGCCACTGTTAGGGGCCTCGTCTGGGACATGGTAGAGTTGGGTGGGCCGTGTCCCACTACCCCCTGCCACCCCACCATAGGCCAAGAGGCCTGTGTTAGCCAACCATCTGCCAGAGCTAGGACACTAAACTATTCCCTGCCCTGCCCTGCTGGAGGGCTTGAGCCCCAGAAACAGCTAATTCCTCCCCCTTTTTCAGACTGCCTTTTGCAGAATAAGACAGCAAGGGGGCATGGCCTCTTTCTGAGACTGACAGGGAGAGGCGGCCATGCACTCTTACACCCTTCTTCTGGAAGGAGGAATTTATCATAAATCAATTAGTAACCTTAACTGCTAAATATTTCTCTGATTCCAGTATTCCCCTGTCCTATTTTTTTCATTCCTAGGTGAACTACCAGTCTCAAAAATACATCTTTAGTGAGATTTTGGAAAGTTAAACTAAAGACCCTTCTCTTAAGGGTTCTTTTTAATAGACTGGTTTTGCACCTTGCTGTGGGTAGATCCCATCTGATCCAAACATGAAGTTTCCTATGTTCTCTGGCTGTCTTCATGCTCAGTGTGCACCAGAGTTTTGGATCAGGCCAGAGCCAGTTTCAGTCACCCCTTCAGTGAGGTCTCATTTTCCAGTATGGAATACTTTCCTTTTATACATTTGTATCATAGTATATAGGCCAATATGATCTAGCTAGCTCTTTGTGTAAAATAGCTATCCCACCTTTAACCCCAGCCCAAGGGCTGTTATCAGTGATTTAGCCTGCAACTGCTTCTCAGCCCCTGGCTTCGTAGAGTTTAATACCAGAAGGACCCATCAGATCGCCTAGCCTGACCTCCTGCATGTCATTGGTTGTTACATTTCACCCCATATTGAGCCCAATAACTTGGGTGGTTAAAGCATATCTTCCAGGAATGTGGTTAATTTGAAGACGGGGAGGGAGGAGAAGCTTCAAGTAAACAGCTGTAGTAAGACAAGGAAAATGATAAAGGGCTAATTTTGAATCTGGAAGGAAGGGGAATGAGTGTAGAGCAGCGATGTGGGATCTGAGGCATAAAGTAATGTACTGAGGATGAGCAAAATCATCCATAGGGTCCTTAAATCTTATCTGTATTTTGTTCCAGCCCAGAGTGTTTTGAAATGAAACATACTTACCAAGATGTCGGACATGCCACAAGGGATTAATAGTAGAATATTTTCCATGGAATACAATGAGCATTGGAGAGGTGGCCACACCTCCCCCAAGGGTGCTGCTGTAGAGGTTTTCTCTGTGAAAAGGCAAAAAAGAGTCCTGAAATGAAAAGGAACTTTACTACAAAACCAGAAGCCAAAAACAATAAATACTAATGCTCTGGCTAATTTACTATTAAAATCTGCTTTGTATAGACAAACGCTACTTCTTTACCTAATTTTAAATATGCACCTTTTTACTGGCATTCCAACACTTATAGGTTTTTTTTTCTTCTAATTGTGGACAATGTTTGGTGCTGTACGAGAAATCTTGTCAAAGTCTAACACTCTTACTCATGCTGAGTAGTACCTTACTCTGTAAGTAGTCCCAGCAAAATCAACGGGATGCCTCATGGTGGCAGAAATGAAATCATTGGGATTCCTCTCAGAATGAGTGGCTACTCAGTTGGAGCGTGCCAGAACCTGACCTAAAATGAAGCCAACCCCTGTTCGGAAGTGCTTAAAGTCTAAAGGACTGGCACAGAATTTACAGATGCAAAAGGTAGTCCACATGAGACGGGGAAGAGTTGTTTTTATTGTGGGCACAAACTCCAGGTACAGAGAATGTGTGTGCACTTTAAAATGTAAAACCCCTTTGCTATATCTTTGCAGCAATTTGCTGTAGTGTTCATGGGTATTCTTTTAAGCATTAAAAAGGAATAAAATCAAGTGCTAGGCCAAATGAGGGAACTGGGGAAGGCTGCTGTCTGCATTCCTCTTCCGTTCATATGCAATGCAGTTGTAGCTGTTGGTCCTGGGATATTATTCTTCCTCCCCTAGTTCTGTGTGCTTCCTTCCCCGGCTCTCATTTGCTTTCCCAGGGTAGCAGAAAACTGACAAGTGACCAACAGTATGATCCATTTTCATTTCAGCTCTGCTTTACTGCAGTTTGACTTACCCTGTGCAAAGTACAGCAGATGATATTCAAGTTACCAACACACGCTGACAATGGATTGATACCACAAATACTTTGTGAATAGACTCATGTCATTGACCATACCGTGTTTCCCCGAAAATAAGACAGTGTCTTATATTAATTTTTGCTCCCAAAGATGCGCTAGGTCTTATTTTCAGGGGAGGTCTTATTTTTCCTGGAGCTTCGGGGCCTTATATTCCGGGGTGGCCTTATTATCGGGGAGGTCTTATTTTCGGGGGATGTCTTATATTACAGCGAGAGGCAAAACTGGAAGTAGGTCTTATTTTCGGGGGATGTCTTATTTTCGGGGAAACAGGGTACATTGTTTTTTAAAGAGAATGCCATAAAGTCCCCGACCCCCATGACTTCTCATAGTGGAGTTGCCACTTTTACAGCTTCTTGGGGTTGGGTCTTTTTCTGATTTTCAGCGGTTTATGTAAATTATGGCTTATCTTTTTAGGAAGAAAAATGGGCTTTTTGTTGGTGTTTAAGAAATGGTTCTTGGGTTATGTAAAAAAAGTGTCCCCTTTCCAGTATTGCTGACATTGCAGTTTATAGGGCCCCAAGCGAGAACAGAGAGTTTCTTTCCACTCTGATCCCACTGCAAGAAGGAGAGATCAGCTCTGCCCATAAACAGCCTGATCCTGAATGGGGCTGATCACCCACAATGAAAACTGCATGTGCTCAGCACCTCTCAGGATTAGGCCTGGCTTGCTGAGTCAGCACAAGACTGCAGAGTCCCAAGTGGTCACTTTATGTTGTTCATGACTGCAGCTGGATTAGAACAGGTGGAAATTGTGCAACAAACAGTTATTTTGCATTACGATCTGTGAAGGGAAGCACATCTTAAGTAATGGACCTTTGAAAAATGAACAGAAAATTCAACTTTAAACACCACATTCAGTCAGGATAAAGTGAAGACTTCGATATCTGTACATACTCTACATTTCTTTGCATCCATTTTTCTAATTGCTTTGTAATCCGCTGGTGCTTCCATTCTGTCATATTAGCCACAATTACACCAGGATTAAAGGAGCAGGTACTGGGGCTGATGCCAAGATCTCTAATTGTTTGCTTCCGGTAGTCCAGATATCCCATGTATGTGTTCTAGAAAGAAGGCAAATTATATATAGATGTCTACTGTAAATCTAATTTATGTCTAGATATGTTTAGATGCAGCTGTATCTACCTCATGCACATGCAGAATACATAGGCATTGAAAAATAAGCTCTGAGAACTGGATTTCTAGATTATTATTACCTGCCTTGACTTCAGTGTGAGGCACAAGGCTAAAGGACAGGATATTCTAATCATTATGTGTTAGCGATATTTCCATGGGAGTCCTACAGGGCTTTGTCTTTTGGCCCACTCCTCTTCACCTTACTGTAGGTGATCTAGCGTAAAACCAGTGTAGTTATCGTAAGGCTACTGGACTTTAATGGCAGTTGCAGATGCTCCGTACCACTCCGGATTTGGTTTTCAAACAATATATTTTGAGCAGCCCACAAAGTTCAACCCTCACTCCCTCTCAGTTATCAGAAAGTCTAATATCAATCCTATCAATACTCTTTTCTAAATATGTTGCACAAGTGACCTAACGAAACAAGAAGAGTTTAGTAAAATACAAAACATACTGCAAAAGAATCAGGAGACAGCACATCTTGAGATGATTACAGGAAACAATTCCCCTTACTAAACTATGTACCTAAGTCCTAATACTATACTTTACCCTGAGAAAACTTTCATTTGGGGATGAAGAAAATCATGTTAAATCTGTACGTAAAAATCCATCAACAATCTGAATTTAAAACTAACATCTTACCTGCATTCCTACACTTCTCACCATTTCATGAGTAGAAGGCAAATCACAGTCGTCTGAAAAAGCTGCAGCATGGCCTGGAGCTAGCTTTGTGTCGTACAGTTCCTGGATGTCACCTGCGAATACAGAATTGGGAGTTTAAGAATGGGTTTGTTTCGTTGCCATGGATCTGTCTTTCAGACTGTTTAGGACAATCTCTGTTCTCCGTTACACTGGTACAACCCTACCAATTTCAAGGGATGGCCTGGACGTAAGGAAGGCAGAATTTTGCTCTATGGACATTGGTTTCAAACATGGGTCCCGTAACTGGAAGTCAGAATCCTATGTTTGCATGTATTCATCTATACTTTATGTGCCTATATGCTGATTTGAAGGTCCAAACATGAGACATGAGCTGTAGCCTGGTTGCACAGATGTGCATGTCTGTACCTTGCCTCTGGATGGGGGACTGTGTCCCCTTCCCCTTACATCCCACTTTGGTCCCCTGCACAATGCCCTTTTACCTGCGTTTTTGTTCAGGGGAGCAGATTTTCTCCTTAGGGCATTATTTCGCTATATCTTATTAAGATACTAGGCCTCGCTGTTTGAAAAGTGGGCTCATAATATTCATAGGCTAACACCAGCAGCTAAAATGTTCACAGTGCTCCTGGCTATATTAATGATGAAATAATTCTGTTTTCATTTGCTAGGAAACCCGAATAAAGCAATATTAGCATGAGGCAATACAAATCCTGGAAATGAGCAGGAACTACATCATCTTGTAGGGGCAACTCACCAATTTGTTTGAAAATCTGAAATAGGATTCATGTCCCACAATGGTACAGTGTTTGAATTAAAGGGACACTGTTAACCTATTTATGGTTCAAAATTGACCTACCTTAAAATTGTTATGATCTGGGAAGGAATTTCCTCTAGATTCTAAACAGCTTCTGTTTTGTGAGATGTAAAACAAAACAACAAGAAAATCAAAAGCAGTGTTTTTGGTGTGACACACCAAAATTCAGTGTGTGCACCTCTTGTTGCTTTGCAGAAAGCACTTAGCTAACAAATACTATTTCCATAGAGCTAAATCCTGAAATCCATGTTCAGTGTTTCCTCTGCAAAACTCCTATTCATTTCAAAGGGAGCTTTGACTAGGCAAAGACTTCAGAATTTGTTCCACGGTGTTTAATATTCCTGCTAACATCACTGATGATAAAAAAAGGCAGAGATTTTGACTCCATTGGAAAGGTGTATGTAAGTGGGGGGAAATCTATTTTTTCCCCAGATAGTATAATGTGGAAGAAATTGCATTATCAAGCTTATTGAAAGTGAAGGGAAGGCAAAGAAAACAAATCCAACTTTAAAAAGTGGTCAACAGTGCCCTTTTAAGTATTGCTGCTCTGAAATCTACATCTGAAGGCAAGAAAAACTGCAGAAAAGCTGTTGAAAACTAAATGAACCAAACTCTTTGCTGTTGTAATTCCACTGACTTCAAAGGTGTTACTCCAGGGATTAACTTGACCCAATGTCCTTGGACACCCTACTGCATAAGGGTTTCATAAGGCTTAATTAATTAATTAACATTTGCAAAGTGCTTCTGAGATCCTTGGATGAAAGGTGCTATCAAAATAACAGGGATGTGGAAGAATGCTGAAGGGGAAAAAAAAGATAAAGCAAGAGAAGACATCAACACTAGCAGGAAGAAAGAACAGAGAAAGTGGCAAAGAAAGGAATGAACAGACTGAGAAATCCATCTGAAAAGATAACTGTGCCTCTACTTAGCTTTTGCTGTATGGGCATGGAGGGATTTTCCAGCACTTGAATTGTTTTCTGATTTGTCTTTATTAACCATAAGATATTAATATCAATAAGCCTGATTCTGTGAGGTGCTGAGTGCCCTTAGCTCCCATAGATATAAATAGGAGTTGAGGGTGCTCAGAACAACAGGATACAGGGTCTTTTACAACCTGATCTGAGTAAATTCTTCTCTCTCAAGAATAAGCAGTTATTTGGGGTAAGGATGCTAGCATTTGTGGGGATTCAAGGTCAGCTTCACATTGACCAAACAAAATAGGAAACGTCAAGTCCTGTTTAGAGAGGAGTATTGCTGCCTGTTCTCGTGAAACCACGCTTATTGGAATTGCCTTATACACTCATGCACAGCAACTGATCAGATGCAATAAACACTGAACGTCACCCACAAACCTACGATCAGGATCAAACATCCAAAAGTAGAAATTGTCCCTTTGATTTTCCTTTTTTAAATACTATGTAAGGGTGAGTGTGAAGCTGTCATAAGTGTAGTACTCCAGGCCACATCCTCAATTTTAAATAGAGCTCATCTTTCCTGGTGAGCAATAAAGCAGTTGAACTTCCTGCTGCAAACTTCTGCTACGTTCCAAGAATTTTTGGATGACAGCTTACCTTGCACAATCACATCATCATCCAAATATATGACTTTCTCATGTTTGTGGATAAGCAGGGGGAGATAATATCGAACGAAGTTCAGCTGTTAAAAAAACCAATCAAAATGACAGACTGTAAGTGGCACAGTGGCTTAATGTAGTCACCTTGAATGTCTTTTTCAGGATTCAAACGTGACTTAGTCCTCTCATCACTGTACATTCTCCAACTACCATTACTGATTGCCACAATTTTAAACTTGCCTCCATATTTTCTTTAAGACAATGTCATGCTGGCCCCACTGAAGTCAATGGGAAATTCCTCCCAATGACTTCAGAGGGGCCAGGCTTTCTCCCAAAAACTTTGTAAATATTAACTGTAGATTCTCTGTCAAATGTTGGGATTATTCTAAAGCACATGGGGTCCATATTCTTCCTTGGTATAACTCAGATGAAGTCAATGCTGACACAACATGCATGCATCTGACCCACAATGCCACAAGATAATGTTAGAGAAGTCCCAGGAGATCACCTTTCTCCCTGAATTAGACTCAGTCTGCTTGGGTGTTTACATTCAGAGATTTATCCTGCCACTTTAACTTTAAAAATGTAATAGGCCCGGTGGTCAGTATTTATTCACAATGGCCCAGATCTAGGGTTGCCAACTTTCTAATGACACAAAACCAAACGCCCCTACCCCACTTCTTCTCTGAGGCCCCGCTCATGCCCCATGCCTTCTCTGAGGTCCCAACCCCGCTCGCTCCATCCCCCCTCCCTCCGTCGCTCGCTCTTCCCCACCCTCACTCACTTTCACTGGGCTGGGGCAGGAGGTTGGGGTGCGGGAGGTGGTGATGACTCCGGCTGGGGGTGCAGGCTCTGGGGTGGGGCCGGGGATGAGGGGTTTGGGGTGCAGGAGGGGGCTCCAGGCTGGGCCGAGGGGTTCAGAGTACGGGAGGAAGTGTGGGCTCTGGCTGGGGGTTGGGCCGGGGATGAGGGGCTTGGGGCGCAGGAAGTGGCTCTGGGCTGGAGCAAGGGGTTGGGGTGCAGGGTGTGTGTGTGGGAGGGGGTGAGGGCTCCGGCTGGGGGTGCAGGCACTGGGGTGCGGCCGGGGATGAGGGATCTGGGTGCAGGAGGGGACTCTGGGCTGGGGGCAGGGGGTTGGGGTGCAGGGGCGGTCCCGGCAGTGCTTACCATGGCTCCAAGGAAGCCTGCCTTAGCCCCGGGCCCCTGGTGTGCCACCAACCAGACTTTTAACGCCCTGGTCAGCGGTGCCGATCAGAGCCACCAGGGTCCCTTTTTGACCGGGCGTTCTGGTTGAAAACCAGACACCTGGCAACGCTACCCAGATCTTCCACTGCAGTGCAGCAGCTTTTCACAGCACTCTCAGTACAAAGCCTTCCTAAAGGCAGCATAGCTAGGCACAGGAGAATCACCCCAGCATAAGGGACACCTCCAGTGGCATAGGCTTGGCATAGCAAATCCTACACTACACACAGTTCCTTCTGCGGGAGCAGGGGGCATTGCAGAGGGAAAGAGCATAGCGAGGGTTGCCAATTTTGGCTGGATGTATTCCTGGAGGTTTCTTCACACGACATAATCTTTAATTGAAAATGAATCTTTAATTCCTGGAGACTCCAGGACAATCCTGGAGGGTTGGCAACCCTAGAAAGGGGACACGTTTGCAGCGTCCTTGCATTTTAGCAGTCCTTGTCTTTCACATCAGTCAATAGCAGTTGTAGGCAGCCAGTGTAAGTTAGAGTAGCCTTCAGGCTCTAAATTACGCTGGGAGGGAGTCACTAGCCCAGAACACAGTCAGCTCAGGGTTGCAGCTGAGTTTAAGTTCTTAAAGTTATAATAATAAACCCCAGGGTTAAGCTCCCAAACAGATAACGTCCCATGCAGGAAGATGGGCAAATTAGCGGGGACATTGCTGCAACGATCTCCTCTCTATGAGTGATGTCTCAACATTTAGTTGTTGGTTCCTTTTCTGAGGCCTTGGCTACACTTGGCAATTCACAGCGCTGCCGCGGCAGCGCTGTGAAGCACGAGAGTAGTCGCGCCGCCAGCGCTGCGAGAGCTCTCTCGCAGCGCTGTAAGTACTCCACCTCTCCGAGGGGAGTAGCTTGCAGCGCTGCAGGCTCTGATTACACTGGCTCTTTACAGCGCTGTACTCGCTGCGCTCAGGGGGGTGTTTTTTCACACCCCTGAGCGCAGCAAGTTGCAGCGCTGTACAGCGCCAGTGTAGCCAAGACCTGAGTGATGTGTAAGAAAAAAATGTAATCTGTTAGGAGTTACAGTCTTGGTGGGCAAGGCAGTAACACTAATTATTCTGATTACATCTCTACAGAAGTGTTATTTTTATGGCTCTCTAAAGTGCTAGTTAAGTTTGGTCTCTCCACTGGCCAGCCCAAGTATATGGCCTGGCCTAGATTTAACCAGGTCAGACCAGGGTTTAATCAAGTCAGGTCATCCACCTGGAAGGATCTCCTACAACATATAAAGGGAGTTGTACCTCAGGAGATAGAGCAAAAGAGCAACAATGTGGAGTAGAAGCACTTGCCACAGGAGGTGTGCTAGTCTAATAAGAAAACCATCCAACGTTATTACCAATTGGTATGGCTCCTCTAATACCCCAGTGGTTCTGTACGAAGGAGCAGAGCACAAAGGAGATTTGAAGTCTTCAATGTGCATTAAAATCTTGGAGACTATGACAGCTCTGTTTTGATGATATATGGTATTTGCTTACTCACAGGCTGGAGTAACTCAGGGCGTGATGCATCTGGTCTTATTTTTCCTTTTAGTACCATAGGGTTGAACTCCACAGTTTTATACTTTATTTCTTTCAGTTTGGAATTTTCAATCCATTTTCTGAGATGAAAGAGAAATGATAAAAGTGTGTTACAGAAAACCACAGAGACCTTCAGTATGAAACGTCAAAGTGCTTAATGGCACATGCCCTGGCTATATTTAAGACTACTGGTTTTAAAACAAAACACAAAAAACTTTCAATGAAAAAAAATACTTTTTTAAATAATTTGTTTCACAACTTTTTACTCCATTTTTTGACCAGCTCTATAGGAGATTCTCTTCTTGAGCCTCATTTTGACAAGTATTTGCACCTTTTAATGATCTTACCAGACCTGGGTTCGAATCCCTGCTCCACTACAGACTTCCTGTGTCATCCTGAGCAAGTCACTTATTCTATCTGGCCCAGTTCCTCCAAGGTACTTAGAATCCTACCTTCCATTGATTTCAAAGGAAGTTAGAAGCCCAAATACTTCTGAGGCTCTGGATCTCAGTTACTTATGTGTAAAATGGTGTTAACTGCTTCTCTACCTCACAGATATGTTGGGAGCACAAATACATTAAAGATTGTAAAGAAACTAAAGTAATGAAGGCTATATAAATATGCTAAAGAGAGAGACTCCTGAATGAGTTTGTTTCTTCATTGAGATGGCCCCTACATTGATTTACTCATTCCTCCTTGGTCTGCACTTGGGTTCAATCCACCCCACTTTAAACAATATCTACAATTTTGTATGACCATGGTTGAACCCCATATTTATAACCTTTACCTCTCCTTTTTTCTATGTTAGCCCCACTCTATCTGTTCTTCTCCTCTGAAGTTGAAGGCACAGCCCTGAATTATGGAGCAGTGCAAAGCCACGTTTTCCCAGAGGCAGCTTCAGGAAGGATTGTGCAGGAGAAACACACACACTGTACCATCTTGCAGCATGGCCTCCCTTCCGCCGCTGGTTGGTGCGGGGCTGTGGCCACCACCTGGCTTAGATTAGTCCCCTTCTGGGGTGGCTGGTGCCCCTAGCAGGCAGCAATCCCTGTACCCAGGGGACTGCAGGATCTGTGACTGTGATGGCCTTTGCACAGGGGGGGAGGAATGACTCCCTGGGCCCTCCCCCAATCCCTGTGCACCAATGCAAAGCCCAGTAACAATCTGGCCCTAACTAGGGTTACCAGACAGCAAGTGTGAAAAATCAGGACAGGGGGTGGGGAGGGGGGTAATAGGAGCCTATATAAGAAAAAAAACCCAAAATCAGGACTGTCCCTATAAAATCGGGACATCTGGTCACCCTAGGCCCTAACTAAGCAGCAGAATGAATAATTTTTGGTAAATACTATTACCTGATATGTGGAATTGTGTTCTTTAGGCCAACTATGTAGAACAAAACATTAGCATCGGTGTTGCTGTAGATGCTACTGATTGCTGCTACCGCTGCACCCATTCTACCCGCAGCAGCACATATCACCACTGGAATTTCTTCTTCCATTTCCTCAGGACTCTCCAAATCAACTGCATATAGCAAAAACCCAAATTAGTGTACAGAATTCAGCACCATTTTATAACAGACCTAGTCTCTGAATTGTATAAACTAGAAACAGAGCAAAAGTGTTACAATGCTCAGGAAGCTGCTAAGGGGTGAAGAGCTGGGGAACACGATTAACAGTACTGACACTAGTGCACATAATACCAAAATAAATACTAGGACTAAGTCTTCACTAGAAGTGCTTTATTGATGTAGGAATATACTACACCGTCAAAGCTCTCCTTGTGTGGATGCAGCTGTGCTTTGTACACTATAATCACCTCCCACCAGTTAAACAAGCTATTCTTCTAAAAACACGGTTTTCCCAATATAACTGTGTCCACACTAGGGGCTTCTGCCAACACACCTATGTTGCTCAAGAACAGTGTTTCTCAAACTGGGGTCGCCGCTTGTGTAGGGAAAGCCCCTGGCGGGCAGGGCCGGTTTGTTTACCTGACCCGTCTGCATGTCCGTCCGATCGCGGCTCTCACTGGCCGTGGTTCACTGCTCCCGGCCAATGGGAGCTGCTGGGAGCGGCGCAGTGGCAGCCTGCCAGGTGCTTTCCCTACACAAGCGGCGACCCCAGTTTGAGAAACACTGCTCAAGAATCACACCTCTTCACACCCTGACTTATGCCAGCAGAAGTCTGTAGTTTAGACCTGGACTACGATATGAAGTCTTTCACCCCAACGTCTGATCTGCACTTAAAAGTTTTACTGGTGTAACTATGTCATTTAGGAGTGGGATTTTATAAATCAACATAGTTATACTGGTAAAATCCCTAGTGTGAAAGCAGTTATGCCATATAAAAGTGGCTTATACTGGTACAGTTTATTCCCTACATTTTACACCAGTATAATTGCACCCAGTACAGTTAAAGCAGAAAAACTTTCTGGTGTAGACAAGTCCTTAGTCAGTGGTTGGCTGGCTCAGGTTGGCTATTACCTGCTGCCTCTGTTTGATGGCCTGTTGGAAATGAACTAGTGGTCTCAGTCTATTCCCAAGCAGGCAGATTCCCATCATTAAAACACATCCTCGTGGTTGTTACCAATTGACTTCTCTGTTAAGGCTCTGCAAAAAATTGAGAATGTGACCCAGCTCCCATTGATATCAACGGAAGAATTCTCATTGGCCTCAAGGAGAGTTGGATCAGGCCCTGCATCACAATGGAGATTCTTAGCCACTACTGACCTGGTATTATTCAAATCAGCTGATCTAGAAATTAAAAGTTCTGTGTCCTAGATTACATCAAAATAACACAAGTGATTCTGTTATAAATTCCTATTTATCCTACAGCAGGAACAGAAACCAGTGCTTAGTTACCATGAAATCTGAACAGAATAAAATAATGAGCTACTTACTTGTTTCATTATTTAATGTAGATGGCACCTTGTGAACTTTATTATACAGAATGACACAGATGGTCAAAACAAGTAGGAATAATAAGATCTGATTAACTGAAATAAAGAGGACAACTGGTTAAAAGTTAATATAAAAACTAATGCTAATTGCTCAAATACCTGTATTTTTATTTTACCAGCTACATATTTGCCATTTACTGTATTCCTGTATTTGTTTTGAAAATCTCATCTCACTTGCTATTTGACCGAATTAAAAACAGAAACTGCTTTTAAGATTTATTTAGAAATTCGCACTGTAGCCTGTGTCCAGTATAATCAGAAATCTGTGGTCAGCTCTTTCCAGATGTTTTGGTTTTCAAGGATGTTCTGATTGCAAGTACTTCCAAAATAGGAAAACTGTTAAATCATTAAGCCTATTATTCAAGGGCTGCTTACCCTAGGAAAATTACCTGTTGAAAATGGTTGGCAGCCATAGGTTCTTTCCCCATTTTCTCCTTAACTATTGTTGAAAATGGTTTTAACTGCTTTTGTATTTGAGACAAATCCATTTTCATCATAGTTACAGACAGCAAGATACAGGCTTGGTGGGGATTGGTCTTATGCACACTTTCTATAGTGATGCTGCAAACTGTTTCCATCCCCAAAGTGGGGTATTATATACTTCATACCATTATGAGCATCCTCTATCCCACACAGAATAGTGGTTCAGCCACCTTTGTGATACTGACCTCACAGTTCTTCTACCCCTCAAAAAATGCTCTTTATGGCCCAAACATGGGTGGGACTAGGTGGGCAGAGGGAGCAGCAGGCAGGCGGGGGACAGGGTGCTGTCCATCATCCCCAGCTAGGGTGACCAGATAGCAAGTGTAAAAAATCAGGACAGGGAGTGGGGGACTTTAGGTGCCTCTATAAGAAAAAGCCCCCAAAATCGGGACTCTCCCTATAAAATCGGGACATCTGGTCACCCTATCCCCAGCGGACATTGATTGGAAAAGGTAATGCAGCCTGGGGTATATGTGGTAATAAGCACTACATTCAGTAATAACTCTTTGCAGAATTAGGTCCTAAGCTAAGGAGGAACTGACCACACAGGGAGGGGGATGAAAGTGGAAGGATGAGGAAGAGAACATGATTCTGAGGTCACTTGGAAGTCTAATACACATATCTAGAGGGTAACGAAGAAGTGCACGGTTTTTCTTTATTTGTATAATTGAATGTACTGATTTTAAAATGTGTAAGAGACGTATAAAAAGACGTGAAGTGATTTTGGAACTTTTTTTCTGGCTACCCTGTGGTCCTCCAATTGCCATAGGATTTCAGAATTAACCCTACCTGTCCCTTTCCTTTACCCAAAACCCCTTTGGGTAGACCTTCAAACAGTGAAGCATTTTAGATCATTTCAATGAAATAGTTCAGCTATTCAAGGTCTATTTGAGGATAACTCTAAAAGCATTACAAAAATAAACTCGGCATGCCACAGAAACTGCATGTTCCAAAATATTTGCAAAGGTATAAATATTTTGATTCAAGTACTTTACTTAGCAAAATCAAAGCATGTGAAAAGCAAATGCCTTACTGTATATTTGGATTTTTCAGCTTCTACCAGAGTCTGCCTTGGACTGAATGCTTAAGCAATCTAACATAAATCACCCCTGACTGAGTAGGATGTTACTGGAAACGCTAAGGGTAAATAAGCATCATCATCATCAACGAACTTGCCGAATGTCATCTTCAATTCTATTTTGTTAGTTATGTAGCATCATAAATGTTCTCAGAATGGGCAAAATATACAAAATACATAGAACACAGAATTCCGCCCTCAGTTACACCTGTACAAATCTTTTGAGCAAGATCGTCAGCTGGTGTAAATTAGCATAGATCAAGAATGTCAGTGGAGCTATGCTTGTTTACACCAGCTGAGGATCTCACCCATTGACTTCAGTGGGGTTGCATGGAGCTAGTGAGGGCATAGTCTGGCTCACTTTAGCCTAATCCTGAGAGGTATTGAGAACCCTGAATCCCATTGGGCCAAATCCTAACTGTGGTGCTAAGAAGGCATAAAATCCACCAGAGCTCTGCAGGAAAGCTAAACTCAGCACCCAAAGGCATTAATCATGTCTTGAGTGTGGAGCCCTCCTTCTCAATAGTGGCCATGGAGCAGCTCCATACCCAAAAAGATCCATCCATTCCCCCAGAGGCAGAATTCCAAGACTCCATCCCCTCTGCTATATTGATAAGTGATGTCAAGTGGGAGGCAGTGCCTCTCAAGATGTTCCTGCATGGGGGATGGAGAGCAGATACTCCCCAGCTGACTGACAACAAGGGAAGCAAGCGGCCTATGGAACCAACTGATAGCATCACAACAGAGCTGTTAGCCACGAAAGCGAAGGACTCATCCACATTGGGGGTCTCCGTGTTCCAAGAAAACTGGAATTTGGGAGCTAGCATAGCCCCTTCAAACTCACAACCATCCACTTTTTGGAAGGCTCAGAGTGAGCCCCAGTCCCTGGATTGCTCTTACATAGTGCTTCATACGGTTTAATATTGCCTCAACACTGCAGTAGCTTCCATGGCTCCTCCATGAGGAAAACAGAAGGATCGGGATCTGCAAACAGGTATAGGAGGAGGTGGAAGTGCTTACATGCAAGAGCTTCTATAACTCCAACGGACCTAACTGTGAACCTAATGAGAAGCCATTCTACAGCCTCACTGTTCTCAGTGTCAATCAGGCCAACACAGAGTGGCACCTCTCAAGATTTTCTCCATTGATTCAAATTCAGAAGTGATGTGCAAGATGATGCAAGTTACACATCGGTGAGCAGATATAAGAAAGTCTATATTTGTATAATTTCCACACCGAAGACTGGAAGAGAGGCAGGTAACAGGAAAACACATAAAAGGAAAATGTAAGAAAGATGTATGTTAAACTAGCCTCTTCCACACAGTTTAATTTACTCCCTCTTAGATCTATTACCAGACACTCGGTATATAAATTACAACAGTTTAGACTCACCCACTTTTACTAACTTCTAATTTACACCACATTACATTGTGGTGTTTAGATGCTGCATGTGATTATTGGAACTGGGAGCACTGGCTGTTGGGAGTCTGAAAGGACAGGAAACAGGAAGGAGGGGGGAGGAGTTGAGGAGGCTGGGAGAGTTACAGGGTGTGCAGTTACAGCTTGGAAAAGAGACTTCCACTGTAAATAAAGTTCTGTTAAAGTTTGTTAATACCTTGCGTGGTGGATACAACATACATGTCATTTCTGAATCTGGCCTATTAACTTCAATGGAATTTGCAGGTGCTAAGCATGTGTCAGGATTAGATGCTGTCATTATAGCCTTTAATACAGCAAAGTACATGAGTATTCCCATTGACTTCAATGGGGTTAAGCACATGCTTAAGTGCTTTGCTGAGCAGGGAAGGGGTTACTCATCATAAATTTAAAGTTAGGAATGGTTTAAGTGCTTTGCAGAATTGGAGTAATAAATTAGCATGCAACCCTCCTATGCAATCTCCTGTAAAATTTTTACATGATCTTTATCTAGCTGTTTAAAAAAATATGTGAATCAATTTGATATTGAAATGTTCTGAATCTTTCTTACTTTTCCTTAACAGAGCCATATGTTCCTTTGGTTAAGAACTGCAATCTGTAGTTAAAAAAAAAAAGAGAGAGAGAAAGAGAGAAGTTATAAACACAGTGATGAATATTTCTTTAGTATTTTATGGGCCCAATTTTGCACCATTAGGTTTTGCCTTTGACTTGAATGGAAGCAGGATTGGATCCTAACTTTGCAAAGCTTTTCATGAAAACATATTACATTTGCAATGTTTTGGGCAACAATTTATGACCTTATATAATCCAGAATTTATAAAGCAAAAATGTTTTAAATACATGAACCAGTTTCAAAGCTATATAACTATAGCGAAACAATTAATGTTTCGATAAACTCAGTACAGTCACTTATATCAGCAATACTTACATTCTATAACACAGATTTTTCTTAATGTAAAACAGAAAATAAAACATATGCAAATATACAATGTGTTTACAAAATGCATCTGTAGGTATTTTAATCCATTGAAATTATCCTTGACTCCCCATACAGCAGAACAACAAATGTAAACACCATAATGCCATTTCTAGATCTTGTTATAATCAATCACACAGCAACATAGATATTGCCATACTAAATACGACAAAGGAGCTATCTAGCCTAGAATCCTGTCTCTGTCTTGGGCTGTGTCTGCACTGACAATTGTAGGGAACTCTTCCCCCACTGCTATAACATCAGTGTAATTTCACTGGTGGCAGCAACCAGGGGACAGCATAATTCAACGGGTTGTAGCAACAAGGGGAGAGCATTGGTGAAGACTGGCCACGAGCATTTTAACCACATCATCTATAGTGCTGGAGCAACTAGAAGTTTCCTTAAAACTGTCATTGTAGTCAAGCGCTGAAAGTGGCCAGGATCAGATGCCTCTGAGGAAAGTATTAAATTCCCTTAATGGACATTTATGGGAAAATCCCACATTTCCTTGTATTTTAGAAGCCAAATTACTTTTTTCTTTGTACTTTAAGCGGTACGAGTTTAGAAAATCTTAATAGTAAAAAGCAGATTATGATTTATTTTTAAATTTATGGGTCCAAATTTAGACCTGTCACAACTCCCACTGATTTTAATGATGGGCTCATCATAGAGATGTTGAGTTGCATCATTTAAAAAAAATAATATTACTTTTTTTTTTTCTTCCCTGGATATAGGCCTTTAAAAAAAATCCCTCGTAAACAGTTCTTTTTAAAAATAAAATACCACACTAGGCACACATTTGGAAACAAAAAGGATGATTAGTTGTGTACAGGGAGCACAAGGCCTTTCTCCTGCCCCTAATAAGAGCTGCCTTTGATGCTGGCCAGCCCACATTCCTCAAGCTCCCAAGCACTGCTAGCCTTCTGGCCCCTCTACTACACCTATGGAGGGTCAGTCATAATCTGGAGCAATATGTTTAAGGGGAATTTCTTTTTACATTCCAATCGCCTGAGGCCTGTAAATCTATGAAAGCAAACTGAAACTTCAGGAAACAAGTTATTGAAGACATGAGATAAGATATCAAAAATTAAAACAAACAAGAACTACACAGCACCACAGGCAAAAAAGAAAACAATGTACGTGTGTGACGTTTCTCCCTCTAGCACTGTAGCTGTTCCTGGCATCTCAACCCCCTTTTTCCATATTTTCATGCCTGGAGCTACAGATATTATGTTTATTATTTTTAAATATAATTCATTTTGATTCATTGAGAAGGGAGAGGAGCCTAGAGTGGTATGAATTCTTGAAAGCTGAGTCACAAAATACAGTTATGTCTTATTGGTTAATTCTGAGTTTACGGAAAGATCTCGAGTCAGTCTCCAATTTTGATTGACAAGTTAAATTCTAAACAGAACACATAAACAGAACAGTCTGTATGCATGTAAATATTGCGACTGGTTTGAAAAAGACAAATTAATAAACATAGTGTAAGGTAAAAGTTATTTTAGGGCTAAATTCTTATCAGATCTGCACTGTTTATCTAGACTCCAATATTCTGCTCTCTCCATATGCACAGAACCCCCTTGATTTACATATGTAAGTAGATCAGGCGATCAGTCAAGAGAAGAGCTTTGCCTTTAGAAATCTCCTCTCCTGTGCACAGAACACAAATATTGTTTCCTTTCTAGTCTGGAAATTTGAATCAGTAATTTTTGTAAGTGGACAAAATTCTCACTCCTGGGGTGAAATCCTGGCCTCAGTGAAATCAATGGCCGTTTTGTCATTGATTTCAATAGGATCTTACAGAATTTGTCCCAAACTGTAAATGTAACTTGCAGTCACTGCGATGTGCAGCTGGCCTGTCAGAACCCTACACTAGCTCCAGACATAATTAAAACAGTCCAAATCGCTCCAAGTTTTTAATCTTTAAAATCCAAACCTGGAAAGACTCACATATAACAAAACTTTTAGTTCAATATTTGAAAAGATTCTTAATATCTGCATTTTGTAGCTTTTCAAGAAAGAAAGGAACTCGACTTGTTACTCTGCAAACATTTACCCCTAGTTTTCCTAAACGCGGATTACTGGAATCTGACGTCTCTAGACACAATTGCCAGATCATATAACAAAATGAGGGGCGGCAGCAGGGAAAGCTGCATATGAAACAGTGACATTACTGTTTAGATATTTCCTGTTTAATTAGTCTTTACCTTTCAAACGTAGCACAGCACTCACGGCTTCTTTCTCCAGAAGAATTGCAGGGCGACAACACTCGGTTCCTAGCTCACCCAAAACTGCAAGCGCTCATGCCAAAACTGCCTTGCCCATGACTCCCCTTGGAAATCCTAGGTACATGAGCCTTAAAGGGCCACAGTAATGCTTTTAAATTGGGAATCCTTTTTCAAATCCTTCAAGTGTACTTTGGAGCGGTGCTGGTTTTTCTTTCCTTTTTCTGCCTCTGAGAAGGTGCTCAGAATCCAGACATTGCACTGGCGTAGTGAAAGAGCCCCATAAACCACTTCCAGATGTGCTGAATGATGCAGCCCCAGATCTGGCAAACTCCCCTCAGATCCTCATCCGGTAGATTGCAAATAAATCCCATAGGAAACAAAAGTCCAGATGGGGGGAAAAGCAAATACCTCCAGAAGCAACTTCAACAATCGCATGGTCTCGAGTAACATTTTTATTTAATTGTTATTTTTGGTAATGATGAAGAGTAACTGTTGGTAAGCAAGAATCAAGTAAGAAGAATGGGCACAAATCCAATGTATTAACATACTGCATGACTACTGTGAACACTAATATGACATCAATAAGTATATTAAGTCTTAGAAAATACTCACAATTAAGGACAGCATGACATGTGTCTTTAACAATCGCTGTGGATTAAAGGTTATTAGGCTGGCTTTTTTCTTAGCATCCTTATTGGCAGGTTAGTTTATTTTTCTTTTTAAATGTAACTGGAATCTCAATAACAGCAAAGCCTGAACATTTGTGGTGAAATCTCTCTCATCCTCCTCCCCCCGCATGAAATCAATGGCAAAACTCTTATTGACTTCAACAGGGCCAGGCTTTTACCCTTGGAATTTTGCTGGAATCTTTAGTACTGATACTTTGCCACTGGACTACTGTAACAGAAACAATTTATTTTTATTTTTTGGATTACAGATTTTTTTCTATTGTTTTATCATAGTTTCCATTACAGTCAAGCTCAAGATGTAAAAATTTAATGTGGATTTCAAACATGCTAATGTTTTCAAAAGTGTTCACCTCCACAATGTTGGTTTGTCCCTTTATAAAACTAGGGGACATTTACAAAATTCAGCTCTGAATGTGGGTTGTGATTTTGAATTCTGTCCCTCCCAAATCTTGGGGAAATTATGGAATGGGGTTTTGGTTTGAACAAAAAGGGAATTTGGAATGTCAAAGTTCTTACTATATGCTGATAGACCTTTCCTCCTGAAACCCTCTTTGAACCTTTTCCTATTCTTTTTTCCATGTCTATTTCCATGCCGCCTCTTGTGCTTGGAATTTCCTCCCTCCCCTTGTACCAGTCAAATGCTCTTTCCCCATTAAAATATTTTCTTTACAATAAAACCATGGGGCTTTCAGGAGGAGATATTGAAAGAAGTATCAGATAATGTTTTCACCCCTCAGCTCATTCTATAGCAGTAGCATCATACTGTACATACTATTCTAAACTCTTTTAAAAGTATTAATACAGCTTGAGACAAAATGCAAGATTTTAGGGAGCCTCTGAAGATAGAATTTTTTCATGTCCAGTTATCAGCATTCAAAACCGCTTTGTTTTTCTATGGAAACTAGAGTTAGACCAAACCAAAATTCCAAATCTGGCCTGACCAAATTTAGAATATAGATTTTTTAAAAAGCCCACCAGACAAGCAAATGCCTGAACTGTATTGTCTGTGTGTGATTTATGCCCTGAGCCAACAAGCAGCTCTTTATGGGTATAAAGTTCCACTTGTGAAGAGGTGCTTGCAGGACCAGAGCGGAAGAGAGGGGCATATAGCTAAGCACCTCATTAGCACTGCTGGGGAAAAAATGATTAAATATTACTTTTTGGTAGTAAGCCCAGGTCTCTTCAGTCCCACCCACACCTCGTTCCATCTATCTTCCATTTCCCTCTAGGCCCACTGAAGAGATTCTGGCTCCATGAGGGTGCAGGAGTCTGCATGTGTGAAGCTCATTGCAGTATTGGAGCCTGAGATCTCACTCCTACTACTAGGATTAGAGTAATTAGCAGCCAAGCTGCAGCACTCTCAAGAGGGGGACCCAGCTCATCTGTTTGCTTTGTGTTTATACTCTCACGCCATCACTCCACACCCACAGAATCAAGGCCTGTTTGCAGATTCTGAGATTCATCATCCTCACCCCACTCCATGGGTCCTGAGTCTCAACACCTTTTGTAAAACTTTCTCTATTTCCGTTCTCTTTTTAATAGATGTGCTCAATAGAACAGCCTGGTTGCTTCTCTCAAGCCTCAATATTTTACAAGTCATTGTTTCCCTCACAGCTTTGTCAGTTCTCATATTATTATTAATAATAATCATGTTTATTGCAGTAGTGCCTGAGGACAAACCAAGAACGAGGCCCCACTGTGCTCAGCAGCGTACAAACACAGTAGTAGACAGTCCCTGCCCTGAAGACCTTACAATTCTTTGCTAAAGTGAGAGGTGGAGATTGGTGAATTCCAGAAAGGGTCAGATAAGGACTTTGAATAGTCAACATTTTCAAAGGTGGGTGCCTAAGAGAATGTTTACATTTACAATCTTACAGTGGCACAGCTGTACCAATACAGCTGTGTCGCTCTAAGAGCGCTCGTGTAGCCACATTATGCTGAGGGGAGAGAAATCACCTGTCGACATAATAAAACCAGCTCAATGAGCAGCGGTAGCTGTCAGCGGGAGAGCGTCTCCCGCCAACATACCGCTGTGCACTTGAGTGCTTATGCCTGCAACCCTTACGTCGCTCAGGGGGGTGGTTTTCTCATACCCCTGAGAGAGGTAACTATGCACATATACATTTCTAGTGTAGATCAGCCCTAGGTGGCTGATTGCCCATGAAGTGAGTGCATGGGGCAGCAGGGCAGGAAGACTTGGCCCTGCTCTGCTTCAAGCATTTGCCCTGAGCTGGAAGTTTTGGAGGGGAAATTTCTCCAGAGTGGCTGAAAAACTTCAGCCATTTGGGCCAAACAGCAGAGGGCCATGAGCTCAGGCATTTGGGCCAGTGACATTTCTCACAGGAGGACAGAGCATGGCAGAGCCAGAGGGGACCTGTCCAGGCCACAGAGAAGCTGGTCTCTGAGCCCCTTCCCCACTCACCAGAAGTGCTTGCAGTTCGGGACAGAATATTCCCCTGATTCAAAACACCCCTCCCCGCCCCCACTGATCTGTGGCCAGGCTCCTTCCCAGGTGGGGCAAGGGAGCTGAGCGCACAGGGAAAAACCTCCCCCGACCCTGCCTGCAGGCGGAACAGCAGCCTGAGCTCTGCCCCTCACCTGGGGACAGCAGGTGGCCAGGGGGTCCCAGGCCCTCTCCTCCCAATGACCAAGTGCTCAGGCCCCCCCGTGGTGTCTGACTTGGGGGGAGAGGGCTGCTGAGGAGCCCCCAGGATCACGTGACCTATGTTCCGTCATAGCCAGTGTAGCGTCAAAAAAAACCTGTCAGAATTTGCTACCTCTCGGCCAATGAGCAGGTGAGAGGTAGCAGATTGTGACAGGGCAGCAAAAGAACATCCGTACTGATAGCACAATATGTCAGGTAGCAGTTTAGTATAATGTTACAAACTGCTAAAGTCATAATTTGCTACTTCCCACCTTTCTCACTCTCTAGTCCAAGAGTAGCATATTGTGACGGAAGGGGTATGCCTGTTGCAATTTGCTACATCTCACCTTTCCTATCCTCAAGTCCAGGGTTAGCAAAATAACGGGTGGGGTTACATTTGGCACAATTTGCTACCTCTCACATTCCCCATCCTTTGGTCCATGGGTAAAAAATGATGATGGATGTGGGGGTACACTTGTTGGAATTTGCTGCTTTTATCTTTGCCCATCCTCTGGTCCAGAGGTAGAAAATTGTGATGGATGGGGGTACACCTGGTACAATGTGCTAACTCTTACCCTTCCCCATCTCCTGGTCTGGGGGTAGTAAGTTGTGATGGTTGGGGGCACACCCGTCACAATTTACTGCCATTGTGAAATCTCTATTTTACAGTTGGACACAAATAAAGAAAGGTATTTTTATAATTTGGAAAAGCATTCTACAGAGTTAAACCACAGGTCTATTATATGTAAAACCTTGAATGAAGGTATTGTATTTTCTTTATTAGTCTCTTTCCAGTGTAGATTAGAAACTGAATGGCCTATAGTAAACAAACATTTCATGTACACAAAACATTTAAACTATTGTAAGACATTGTGAACAGTATTTGAAATACTTATGAATACCGTTTTTAAACACAAGCTATCAGGCAGAAAAGCCACCATTGTTCCTGATACAGATTTCGCCTCTGCCCCCATTGTCACTGTTACACACATTTGAAAACATCAAGTTTTCAAAACAAAATTTGTACTTCTCTACTTTTGCACAAACATATAAGCATATTGCCCCCTGATTTTATTCTATTTTCTTATGCCTTTTCCGCCTGCTAAAACCAAACTGCCCTGTCCTCACTGTGTTTTTAACCTCAATAGAGAGCCAAACATTAGTGTTAGCCCATAGAGAGCCAAACATTAGAGTTAGCCCATGCTAAACAAAACAAATGTCACCTTTCTTAGCAGTGAGAAAAAAAACCAAGGGCTAGATTCACAATGGGACTTAAGGCTTGTTTACACTGCGACGTTGTGGACAAAATTTTTGTCTTTCATGGGTACTTAAAAAAGCCCCAGCCTTCCCCGTCCCTCTCCGCCCCCCCCCCCCCCCCCAAAAGACAAAAGTTTTGCGGAGGCAAGTAGCATTGTGAACGAGGCTTTGTCGGCAGGGCCACTCGCGGGCCTGGAAGTATTTTGTTGGCAAAAGTGCCGACAAAATACCGATAGAGAGCGTTCACACATGCTGACTTTTAGCAACAAGGCTGTGTTGACACAGCCTTGTCGCTAAAAGCTGCGTAGTGTAGACAACCCCTGAGGCATTGCAATGATCAGTTTCATAACGGCTAGTTTTTAAGCACCAGGAAAGTCACAGGAACACCCCTGTGATTCACAAATCCTGAGTTAGGTACCTAAGCTCTGTATACAATGAATGTGGAGAGAGAGACCTCAGAGTTGGATCCACAAAAGCAAACACTCTACGTGGGGAGCTGCCAATGGGAGATGCTAACCAGAGAGGTGTGTGCTAAGCCCCACCACCTCACAGAGTTTGGTGCCTATGTCCCCAGTGAAGCAAAAGTATGAAGCTAATACACCCTAAAGTCTCAGAAATAAAAAGACAAAAACTATCCTAGGATGTATTTGGTGAGGCATTTCCAGTACAGATAGAGAAATATTAATCCACTGTTCAAGGCACTGG